CTGCCTCTGAGATGGTGCCGGCGTCGGGCTCGCACCAGAACGCTGTGCACTGGAAGCGCTGTCCCGTATCCACGATGAGAGCGAAGGTGTGCGCGTCCCTGCCCACCCCAAGGAAGGTCACGTACCGAACCTGGCACTCCCAGATGTGAGCCTCCTCCTCTTCCTCCTGCCAGGGATGGCCCCATCTGTCACGTGCCAAACCCCAGGGCAGCTACACCAGGGTTCAGGATCCAGCACCATGCCTCCACTCCAAGGCAGCTCAGCCACCGCAGGCCAGTCCCTCCCCAGTGGGACACAACCTCCCACCCTGGTGGCAGCAGGGTTCTTGCATCAGCCGCAGCACCCTTTGGACTCCCAGAGCCCCTGCTGATCCTGGGCCTACCTGTGCTGGGTGTACTTTCATGGCTGTGTCAGACACACTGATGAGGGACGGTGTCCAGCGCTCCCGCCCAGGGCCTCTCATCAGCTTCTCAATAGCCTCGTTCAGCACATCCATCCCTGGGGGGCAATAGATGGGGCTGGCGGTCCCTGACCCAGCAAGGCAGGGGGATGGGGTGCCGCACAGGGTGCTGCTGGGAGGCAGAGGGCACTGAGGCCCTGTAGGCAGAGGTCACTGGGCCTCCCCAGCAAAGAGGCATTTCTTGGGCCTCCCCCAGCCACCATGGGGGCAACAACGCTTACCCATGGCCCTGGGCACGGGCAGGCTGCCAATGTACAGTGCCTCGTACTTCTGGATGGACTGCCTCACAGCGTCCAGGATATCCACTGCCAAGACAGGAGAGATGTGTAGGACTCCTCCCCCCCCCCCCCACACACAGACCCTAGGGTCTCCAAAGCCCCCATGGATGCATCCAAGCAGGACAAGGGGCTCTGGCGGCCAAGCACGGCACAGCCCCACTGCACCCAGGCCGCCCTTTGCACTGGGGGAACAGCATGCAGGGCTGTGGGCATGGGGACCATGGCAGCCAGCCCTCACAGCGGGCCACCAGGGTGCGCAGGGGCCGTAGCTGGGGTCATATGCCTGTGGGACAGTACCTTGCAGCGGCAGGTCATCGGGGGAGATGGGCTCCAAGTTGATGGCACGTGAGAACTTGCTATTTGCTACCACTCGCTCAGCCATGATCTGCAAAAGACAGTATTATGTGGGGCTCTGTGCTTTCAGGGGTGCCTTGACCAGGTGACTGGGGCACCCAGGCACCCCTCAGCCCCTTGTCAGTGGAGGATGAGCAACGCACTGAGCAAGGAAACTGAGGTGTGTGCTGGCTGGCAGAGCCAGTGGGCCCTGTGACTGGCCCCCCACTCCAAAACCATGGAGTCATGCCCAGATGTGCCCCCACAAGCTCCGCTGCTCCGTCCACCGGGGCCGTGGATGGGTTCAGCCCACTTGTAACCACAGACCCTGGCACCCCACCTTGGAGCACATTTCATGCAGGGCCTTGGCGATGCCCTTGGCGGGCACATTGCAGTGGAAGACGTGACACTTGAGCACGCAGGTGTCCTTGTCACTGGCCACGAACGCAAAGTCCCTGCAAGGCCAAGGGTGGGTGAGTGAGGCCTGGTGGAGGCAACCTCTGGTGCAACCCCCTTGCCCCACACCACCTTACCTGTCCCTGCATCCGCCGTGGCAGTTGGGAGAGAGGAGAGCAGACAGGTTACTGTGTGGGTCCCACCACGCCAAGCGGGCAGAGCCAGGGCTGCCCAAGTCCCCTTGGTGCCAGGCCATGGCATGGCTCCCGGGTGCAGGGGCACCCCCCCATAGCCCATGGGCTGTGCCTCTGCCCGCCATGGAGGGGCCCCTGCTCCTGGCACCTGCCGTTGTTGCAGCCAACACCCCAGACACGGATGTTGAGGATGGGCTGGCAGTGGATGAGGCTATGGTCCAGAGGGTCCACCAGGCTCATGGTGTCCTTCTTCAGGATCATCACCAGGTTCTGGCCCTGTGGGGAGCCGGGGTAACCTCATCCTAGTGGCAGGCCAGCCCCCCCCACCCACCTGCCCCACCCCTGGGCACCCTGGCACTGGTCCCATGTGCAGGGACAGCCCCATCCACCCAGCCTGCTTGCATCTGGGCACCTCCTGGCCTAGTCCGCAAGTGAGAACAGCCCTGTCCACCTGGCCTGCCCCACATGGGGGCACCCCTGATACCATCCCCACGTGTGGGGACAAGTCCCCACACAGGCACCTCCTGGCACTATCCCCTTGTGCAGGGAAAGCCCCAACAGCCTGGCCTGCCCCACGTCTGCTGGCTTTGACCCTGTGCATGGCAACAGCTGGCTCTGCCCATACCTGGGCTCCCCAGGTATGATCCACATATGTGGGGACAGCTGTCTCCAGCAGTGCTGGCCCCTGGCCACAGCTGCGGGAGCCTCCCCAGCAGCATTGTCCCTGGCCCTCACCTCGCCCCGGCTACCTGCAGAGCCCTGGCCCTGGCACTTGCTGTTGGAGAGCTGCTGGATGCAGTTGTTGACGGCGATGCTGCTCTTACCAGGTGCCAGGTCCTCCTCAGGGATCTCAACCCAGCCCAGCGAACGCACGGCAAAGCACTGAGCAGGGACACACAAAGTTTGCATGCCAGGCCAGCACAGCCATTGCTGCCCTCACCCCCATCCCTGTGCCTGCCAGCTGCTGGTTGCTCCCTCCTGCCCTCCATCCCTCCACATGATGCCTCAGTGCCACTCCTCCAGGTGCTCTGAGACAGGGGCAAGAGCCTCCCAATGTGCCAGGACCCTCCCACCTCCAGATGCAGTACCTTGGAGCCAGGCTCGGTGGTGTGCTGGGAGTCATCTCCATGCCAGGACAGTGAGGTCCTGCAACGGCATAGGGTGGTGGGGTGGGCAACACTTCCACTCAGCAGCACTGCCCCTGAGCACCAGTGCCCTGAGAAGTGTCAGGATGCCCTTGCAGCAGGAGGGCCCTCCCCCCCTCCCCATGCTATGAGCTGGGGAGCATCCCATGAGGGTGCCCAGCCTGGTGCTGCTGACTGCAATCTCTGTGGCTGCTCTGGGGGAGGATGAAAAGGATGAGCACCCAGTGGTGGGCAAAAGGCTGCCCACTGCGTGGTGCCCCAAAGCCTCCCCTGGCCCCATGTTGACAGAGCATGCGGGCAACCCTACCTCCTGGACAGTGAAGCCATAGGGCTGGGAATCGGCCTGGCCTTCAAGTGGTGATTCACCGGAGAGGCCTGGCAGTCCTGGGAGAGAGAAGGAAGAGGTGAGGGTAGCAAGAGTTGCCAGGGGAGCACCTATCCACAGGGGCCTCAGGCATGGGGCCTCCCCTCCAGGAGAGCAGAACCTTAACCCAAGGGGACCTCCAGAAGTGCCAGGATGGGGCCAACATGGAGCCTCCCAGAGCACCACAAGGGGGTTAACCCCAGCCAGGAAAGGACTGAGCAGGTCCTTGCGGCAATGGAGACGGTCCCACTCCAAGGGGAGGCTGGACCAGAGACACCCACTGGATTCTTCACCAGCCCCTCTAGGTGGGCTCTTACCAGGCTTGGGCTAGCCTGCTGCTACCAGGCTGCTCATCCACAGAGAGGGGGGAATCCAACACTAACCCACCGTCCCCTGCCCATATCCCCTACCATTTCCTGGAGCATCTCCTCTCCATCAGGCTCCAGGCTCCCGCCTGGGCCAGCAGTGCATGCTGGGTGCTGCCACTGTGTCGTGCCGGTAGGCACATGCCAATAGTAGGTGCCCAGAGAATCACGGATTTTCCTCCAACCTGGGGGGAGATCAGGGTCCGTCTCCAGGCTCTGGTCACTCCAGAGGTTGTCTAGGCAGAGGGAGAGTGTGAGATGGGGGAAAAGTTCCTACAGCTGCTTTCAGCTGCAAGGAGGCCTGAGAAGCAAGTGGCTTCAGGCAGCAGGGAGCTGCAGCTGCTGCTGGGGTAGGACATGGTGCCCCAGTGCAGAGCTGGGCACATGGCTGGGAAGAGAAATTCTGAATGGGAAGCCCTTGAGAGGTGCAGAGAGGCTGCAGTAGCAGAGCCCAGTCCCATGGGAGCTCAGCATGACAGCACTATGCCCAGGCCCTGTCTGCCCTCCTTGGCCATGGAGCAGAGCATGGATGGCAACCCCTTGCCCTAAGAAGAGCTTCCTTCTGCCACCAACCAAAGCACAGGGCACCCTTCATGAGGGGGGTGCTTGGCATGCTCAGAGCCATGCCCACTGGTCATGTCAGGATCAGACCCAAGGGCAGCACCCAAAACCTGGCTCTACCCACTAGATAATGCTCTCTTTCTAGACTGGTGCTGGTACAGACCCCAGGAGTCCTGGCACTGACACCAGTGCAGGCAGTTGGCTCACTGCAGCAGGAGGGAGAGGCTGACCCCAGCACGGGCACGGCCCGGTGCCCAGGGGAGAAGGCACAGTGCGGAGGTATCCTGACAGGGCACAGGACTGCCAGGTCAAGGAGCTCACTGCTAGCATGCAGTCCCCAGCCCTCTGGAACACCTTTGGGTGCCCAAGCGTGGCTTCTTCTCAACTTTGCCATGGGAAAGGCTTGGGGATAGACCCCTTGGGAGGGAGAAAGCATCCTTGGAGAGTTGGGGGTGGGGGGTATAGATTAACCCCCTCCTCCCCAAACCTCCAAGCCTCAGTGAGGTCACAGAACTGGGCCTGTGGTGCAGAACTGTAGCAAGATCTGCTCCTGGGAATATAGCTAAAAATACTCAGAGATCAGCATGCCTCTTCTGAGCACTTGTTCCCCATGAGCTGTGCTGCTGGGAGGGACAGACAGTGGGTGGGTAACCCATCAATGCCAGTGGTGAGCCACACTCTGCTTCCCATGCCCTGCTGGCCCCTAGACCTGCTCACACAGTAGGTGGGCCCAGCCATGGCACAGCACAGCACAGCAGCCTCCTGTCCCACATCCACTCTCGGCGTCCTGTCCACAGAACAGGGTGGGTGGTCCTGCTCGGTTCAGGGTGAGAGTGAGTGTCCCTCTGCCCCAGTCACTGGGTCCTGCTGATGCCTTTGTTTTCGGCACCACAGGGATAGAGAGAAGCAGGATGAAAATTAAGGTGTAGACAGTGAAGGTCTGGAGCCCAACGTGGCCACTGCAGGTGCCCACTGTCCAGGCGGACGCCAAGGGGGTAGAGAGCCTGGCAGCCCACGGCCAAGCCAAATACCTCAGCCTTCAGGCCTCTGCCTCTGCCCAACTTGTCAGGGCCCAGCGGGTCTTCCCAGACCTTGCGATGGGTCATGCCCCCACCGCGGGTGCCTTGGGGGGGGGGTCCCACCCCCCCCAGCACCCCAGGCCTGGCTGGACCCTCCCTCCAGGTTGGCAACATAGAGTCCTGTGCCAGCAGGAGCTGGGCCAGAAAGCTCCTTCCCTGCCCTTGAGAGGGCCTGCGGGGGAGATGCCCTGAAGCCCCGGGCCCCTTCGCCCAGGTATGCGGCTAGGCCCTGCTGCCCTGGCGGCAGGACGGGCCGTCGAGCCCGGCCTTTCGGGCCGAGCACTCCGGGCCCAGCGCAGCCCCCGGT